GGCCTCCCCGCCAGGCCCACCCAGGGCATCCCTGGTTCCGACATGCCTTCCTCAGCCCCTCACTGTTCCGGGCAGCGCTGCGAAAGGAGTGACAGCAGCAACAGCGCGACAACCTGGGACACCTCGGTACGTGGCGCTGGTTGGGAGCAGGGGGTGAAGCTGGGGTCGGCAGTCCATGTCAGTGCATGCTGGAGCTTGGTAGACTGCGCATGCGCATCCCACAGCTCTCGCCACGCTGTTCCATGCTTCCACCCGCGCGCGTGGCCTCCAGCACCTGCAGGGCAGGTTGGGCTGGTGCTGCCTGCAAAGGACGCTCGGTGCCCAGGTGCTTGGCCACGTGCCGGCACCAGAGCAGTTCCTCCATGCCTATGAACTCAGAGCAGTGTTATGAGTGACAGCGAGGCGCTCGGTGCCCTGGGTATATAGGCACGCTGTGCCATCCCCAGAGCCCCAGCCCAGCCTGGATGCCGGCATCACACTCACAGCATGTCTCGAGAACAAGCTGGTAATTTTCCATTCAGGTTTCCTTCCAATATCCACTCAGACCCTGCGCATACCATCTACCCTCTCTTCCCAGTCCACCTTCATTCCATGGCAGAGGTTGGAAGCCATGCCACCTTCACCAGCTGAGCAGGGTGATGGTAGCTGCGGGTTGCGGGGTGAAGGACATGATGTTCTTCCCATGCTGGATGAAAACTGGCCCAGAGAGAGCTCAGCCAGTGCTTCTGCATCACTCCTTGTGCCAACAGGAGGAGGAAAAGGCCATGGAAGGGCAAAGGCCATGGAAGCAACCTTCAGGCTGCTGCCAGTGCACTTTGTGCAGCTTTTGCCCTGGCATCCTCATCCACAGGGGAAGAGCTGCCACCTGCCCCTCTGGAGCTGCTTGTTTGACTCCCTCACTTCCCTGTCTGAGCGAAGTTGGGTACCGTTATGGGTTATGCAGGCCCTGGGGACAGGCAGAGGCAGCACAAGGGAGTGCAGCACCTCTGTGCCTGGCACCTGGGTGCAATGCATCTGCAAGCCTGGGGAGCTGGGACAGCTGCAGCTGGGACCCCTGAGGATTTCAGGAGGCTGCGCTAACCCAGAACACGGTCCTGGGGGTGCAAATGCACCCAGAGGTCTCTTGCCAGGGCTACAGGGTGCCAGGCAGGCGGGGAGGCTGTGGCAGTGACGCCGGCTTAGGTTCCCCAGTGGCTTTTAATGTTCTCACCCGCTATTTTCCACTCGTACAGCCTCCCACCCCTCTCTGCCCTTTGGCTTTTCTGAGCCGGGAAGCGAGCACAGCTCATTGTAAAACAGGCTGCAGACCCACAGGCTTTATGCCAGGTGCCGGAAACAACCTAGGGGGTGGGAGGGGTGTGCGTGCTACAGCCCCGATGCTTTCAGTTCTGCCCCATTACCTGGGCCCTGGGGCAGGGTCGGCAGCATCCTCTGCTGTCAGGGCCAGGGCATTGCCAGAGCTGGATGCTCTCCCTTCTTGACAGCCTTGGCACAGGGTGGGCAAGATAGAGGAGCTTGTACCTGAGAGGAGAGGACGTCTGCATTTGCTCCATCACTTGGTACCTCGGTTTACCCACCCGCAGGGTGCCAGAGGTGCCATTATGAGCAGCGGTGCCAGCTAAGCCTCTGTGGGCACCCAGGAAGGGCAGAGCCGGAGATGTGCCGCCCCATTAACCGCCCTAGGTGAACATAGGGTCATAAGGCCAGAGCCGCCCGCGAGAGCGCCCGCAGCTCTCTGCACTCCCGTCCTGAGCAGCTGCCGGCTCTGCCCTGCAGCCAGTCCCTGCCCTGCCTCTGCAGTGCCTGTCGGGCCCATGGCAACATTTTCACCATGGCAGAAGGTCACTGCTGTGGCGGGGACACCTGGGGACAGGTAGCTGGATCTGAGCAAGGCAGGCCAGCCCTGGCTCCCCTTGACTCTCCCACCTTGCCCGGAGAGTCTAGGTTTCACTCTTGCAGGAGGGAAATTTGGTCCGGGTGCTTGCTGTCCTCAGACCAGGAGGTTCATCTTGAGATGCTCTGCATCCCGCGCTGCCTCCTTCCCCTCTTTCACTGTGAAGCCAGCTAAGCCAGTGTAGTGCATCCCCCAGGAAGAGGGTTGCTCCATGCATGGCTAGGGCAGGCCTACTCTGGGCACATACCACCTTGGAGGCCACCCAGCTGGCTGCAGGGATGGTGGCAAGAGCACTGGCCTGGAATGTGCAGTGCTGCATGCTGTGCACAGTACACAGTGCATGCTGTGCAATGGCCCCTGCGTGCCCCATGGGCATGCATGTACAGGGGGCTGTGCCTTGCCTCCCCGCCCCGGTCTGTGGTACCCCAAAGGGGTGTGTGAGCACGTTGTGGGGCACTTGTGCAGCTGGTGGGGTGTGGATCCCCATGTGCACGCTGTGTCCCAGCGTGTGTTCGGTGTACACACCGCAAGCTGTGTATATATATACACACGCGTGCGCGCACACGCAAGCCAGGATTACGACAACCGTCCTGTTGTGATGCAAAAAGCCCCAGCCTTGCAGATGAATAGCGCTGCAAGATGCCTCCCTGGATATTTTTATTGGTGCCAAAAATAGCCTTCCTCCCCTCCCCTCACTGTAGTCAGCCCCTCTGCCGGCTGTGCCAGAGCTCTCACCACGGACGACAGAGGCTGCAACCACAGCAATTAGGATTCAAACAGCAGCCGCTGACTCCGGCTCAGGGAGGAGAATGATGGGGAGTAGAGCAGACTCCGCTCCGGTCCCACTTTGCCCCTCAGCTCTGGCTGTCCTCCTTGCCTCGGCTGCCTGTGGAAATTTCCCGGAGTGGGTGGTGAAGACACCAGGACACGCGCAAGCAGCCGCAAGGCTCAGCTGGCACTCACCCTGCTGCGGTCAGAGAGGTGACACGGAGGGAGACGCAAGGCTAGGATGCAGGACATCCGGGCTCCCTGCCAGCCTCTGCACGTGCCCTTGCTGCAGGAGCTGAGCCTGAGCCCAGCCAGTGCTGTGACTCAGTTTCCCCCACAGGGACCTCAGGGTCCCTGTGCCCTCATCCCCTTTGGGGAAGCCTTGCCCAAGTACACGAAACTTGACATTGAGATGCTCTCTGAATGCATCGCATCTACAGGACTGTGCTGCCTGTTGGTGCTTGGTTCCCCCCAAAATGATCCTACCCAGGGCACGAGAGGATGGTGCTGGAGGGAAACTGTGCACCCATGCGCCAGCAGCACCTCCCTCCTTCCAGGTGCCCTGTGTCCCCACGCACTGGGAATCAGGTCTGCATCTGAGAGCTCTGCATACCCGGGCAGACCTGTGCTCAGCTGAGCACCTGTATGACTCAGATTGGTGTCCTGCGTGCACAGCCACTAGGTGCTGGGGAACATGTCCCCAGACACAGGACCCATGCGACCAGTTCTGGGTACAGAAGGTGCCCATGTAGGTGAGGGATGCTGCACGCCCTTGGGGTAAAAAGCCCCCTGCCCTGCTGATGTCAGTGCCAGGGGCCGTGCAGGAGGCGCCCAGTGAGTAGGGAGCATTTCTCGCAGGAGCTCCCATCCCTGCTGTACTGGAGCGGGGGAAGAGAGCTGCACCGCGATGCTGTGATTACTCGCGCCAAGCACGCTGTAG